CAAAATTAAAAGACATTGTAGAAATATGTGCCGCTCTAGTCAACAGACATAAAACATTGTTTATTTTAACCTCTAATACAAAAATACAGTTTTTTTGTTTTTTTTTACAATTTCCATCTCTACGTCTAAAAAATGAAATTTCGAAGCCTTTCTTTTCATCAAAAATAACTTTAATTTTAATTAGCAAATACTTAGTAAACAAAACAAGGTACGGTACACAATAATTGCGTAAATACGCACGTGCACGTCATGTTGGATAGTTGTCTCATTGGCAATCAATATAATGTGCGATCAATAATATTTTTTTCAATTTAATTTTTGAGACGACCCCTCTCACCTGTCGTAGTCGTTCTCAACTGTAGGTGTAGACAATTGTTGAAAAGGTCTTATAATTAACCTCGGATTTCACACAGGTGCTTTATAATTACCGGACTCGATAAAATCACGTGACTGATAAGAAATTCCAGATGCCATTTTACAACCGCGGTATCACAGATAGTAACCAAAGGGGTCTTGCCGCTGAGACTATAATTGGATAAAATCATATGACTTTAGTACAGAGCTCTGCAGGCTCTTAATACATGCTAATTAGTCGTTGTTATTCCTTTTAAATATTACTTCCATGATTTAACCATGTCATATTTCGTTATTTTCGAACCAAAAAAAAAAATACCCAAAACAACACACATATGCATTTAAAATTGAGGTTAAGTCATTTTATCAAAATTAAAAAGACTTACTTTCAATACGCATACGAGATATCATGTGTCATAATGGAATTATATCTCACGGTTTATATCTCGGTGAGCAATTTAAAAAATCAGAGTTTTTCTCAAAATTTCTTTTTAGATAAGATAACAACAAAGAAATCTTTGTTTAGATAACAAATAATGAAAACTGGAAAATAATACGAAATTCATAAAAAGTTAGTTCCCTAATTCGTGGTATCTGAACCATAATTGGAAATAAACACATTGTTATTCCTATACTTTCGTTTTTTGAAATGATAAAATTTCATATCTTAGAATGCAATATTGAAACAATATTTAATAATAATAATAAATGATAATATTTACGAAATTTGTAATCACTGATCGGCTGTGAAAATGGTTCCAAAATAATACGATTTTTTTAATCTCTAGATTAAATTTGCATTTGCCGATTTATCACACAGGGGTATCTTCTAACCAAAGTTTGTTCGTGGAAATATCATATCATAATAGTCAATCAGGTAATACTAGTTTTAAATGGATAAATCATTTAAAGTCTATATTTGATAATACGGGACTCAGCAATGTATGGACTCAGCAATTTCCAGTTAATTCAGTCCAATTTAAGGTTACTGTAAAGCAAAGGCTCGTAGATCAGTTCATCCAAAAATGGTATAGCCAAAAAGAAAATTCATCAAGAGGAAAATTTTATGGTCAATTTAAATTAGAATTTAATCTGGAAAACTACCTTCTAAAATTATTTCCAAGAGAACGACAATTATTAACAAAATTGAGGTGTTGTAATTTAAAAATACCCATAGAAACCGGAAGGTGGACAAACATTCCAAAAGAAGAAAGAATATGCCACTTATGTCATATAGGAATTGGCACTGAATTTCATTACCTTTTTGAGTGTCAGTTTCCGACAGTCGTAAAAATACGAAACAAACATATTCCTATTTACTTTACTAGATATCCATGTTATCAAAAAATGATAGGCTTATTGTCACTAAGTAATGTAAAAGTGTTAAAAAATCTAACACTTTTTATTAGTAAACTTACGAACATTTTGTAAGTTAAATGATTGTTTAAAAATGTATTTTTTATGTTTTTTCCTTTATTATACCCACCATTTTTCTTTTTTTGTATTGTTTGTATATATGTAAATATTGTATTCCTCTTGTTACACTATGTATTATGTCTGAGTGATCAAATAAAAGTTGAAAGTTACAAATAAGTGCTAACACATCGTTGTAATCCATATGTGAACAACTTTATTTGATTAGTGATAAACCCCAGGGTGCAAAATCTTAACATTGGTTATATTACTTTAGTAAGAAGTTTTGAAATTGGTGTCTTCTTGTCATGCTACCCCCCTTTTTCCTTTCTTGGTGTTAAAATTTCTTTAATATTAAAACCTAGTTACACTTACTAGTACTTAATGCGTATTTTTTATTATCAATAGGATATTAAAAACAGCAGTTGTTTTTATATGCTGCCCCTTTACTCTTATTCCGTGACAATATGTATAGTGGGACAGCTAGCATATATAAACTATTATTATTGTAATATCATATGGATCGAAGAGCAAGAACACATTAAAAATTTGAAAATAAGTAAAACAAAATATAAAAAATATTAACAACTGAAAAAAAACGACAAAAAAGGGGAGAGGGGGTCTATGCACCATGCGTATGTGAGACTACGTTGTTTCACAGTTTTCATGTCAGGGCCTCAGTTTATATATGACAATACGGTATATGTTTCATACATTTCCAAGACGAAAACAAATCAACCAGTCTACAATAAAGTTCGGTTCTACAAAGAAGGTATAACAAGATGGAGGTATAAAACTATCACCAAAGTCTCATAAAAACCGGGCAAGCACTCTTGACTTAATGTCCGAAAACGGTAAAATCACCCCCTTTTTTATGAATAAAATCCCATAACTCGAAAACGTAAAATCGAAAATTTATAAAAATCGAAAAGGAGCTTACATCAATAGATATAAACAATTCAGCAAAGTTTCACGAAAACTGCTCAAAGCATTTTTGAGGTACTGTACGAAAACTGGAAAGTCCCCCTTTTTTAATGAATAAAACCCCACAACTCGGAACGTAAAATCTAAAATTTATGAAAATCGAAAGGGAACTCATGTCAATAGATATAATCAATTCACCAATGTTTCATGCAAATTGTTGAAAGTGTTTTTAAGTTATTCATGTTATTGTCCGACATTTTGACGACGGACAGACAGCGGTATGCATTAATTTATACGTCCCGTAAACGGGCGTATAAAAACTTGATGAACTTATACTCTATCCTATTTGCCTATGTGATGTCAAAGAATCCCCAATTTTAGAGTATGTACATGTATGCATGAAATTAAAAAAATGACACCAGTTTATAACTGTAAATTTGTTTACCTACAACTTTACATAATTACGTTTACTTTTTTTTAAAGACATATAAACGAAACTCAACGGTTTATTGACATACAAATTTATGATTATCGTTTCCTGTTATTAAGTGTGACCAGAAGCCACCGCTGACTATTCTAATAAACAGCAATGATAATATTTTATTGTTTTAGACCATGGACATAATATTATAAATGAAATTTTAGTCCCATACAGTGTGGATTATTTTGTTTATTGAAAATAAAAGCTATAGCCACTGGGTCGATCCAACCAATGCTGAAGTAAAGTCGTCATATGTTTATGATTTATTCTTTCCGTAAACCTGTCAACTTAGTTTGGATGACTGTTTAGCAAAATTTTCTCAAAAAAGGAAAAATATAATGTGTCAATATCAATTGTTGGTGTTGTCAAATGAATGAGAAAAAAAAACAGAAACCAAATAAGTGTACGTATACGTTAAAAAAGCATACAATAGCTGGATAACATAACGCAATGCAGAACATTATATTTAACAATAACTTTTTCACAGAAGATTTTTTTTCCCTAATTATGAATTACCAATCCTTCTAAATATTGATATAAAAACGTTTATACCCAATTATGAAAATTAGTAACGAAAATAAAGTTAATTCGGACATTCTTTCTTTGCTACAATTATTTCTACTTCATGAGATAATGGCAACACTGGTCTCTTTTTTTACTTTCCTTCCACTGTCATAATCACCCTGATTCATCAATTTGTAATCTATTCGCTTTTTCTTTCTTAATACCATGTCACTTGTCATTGTTTGTCGAGTTTATTAACGAATAAGTGAGATTTGTGATTACCGCTGATTTTTGTTATCGGGGTGATGCCTAACGGGGAAAATACGACGAGTAATCGTTCCTTATCTACTGATCACCTAATTAGTACCATGTTTTCGAAAACCAGTTCAAAAACAACTTGGGTTATCTCGTTTGGAAATGTCCAATATTCTTGAACATGCTTATTATTTATGAATGTATTTTATTTTATGTCGTAAACTGGCGTACTGTTTGCTAGAATAAATTGCTTACCACTCACCGAGTCTGTAGAGTATTTGAATGCAGTGCACCATGTTGATTTTTCTGTTTGCTGAAATGTTTTATTAAAATTGTTACAAGAAATGCACCTAGCTGCATTTCCTATTATTTATTCAAATATTTATTTCCTGTCATATGTTATGAACCACTGTACTTGTTGTATTGAATGTTACTGAAGCAGAAAATAATACAATTGATGAACTTCCATTATGATTTTTAATATTACTTTCTTCAACGGAGGCCCACATAAGTAACGCCGGGAATCCTGACTCGTTAACCCGGAACGTTTCAATATAACATCGCTATTTACAAGTCCTTCCGTTCCCGAAGTCGGTCAATACCCAAAATCAGTCACCTTTTAGAATCACGCTTTTACTGGTATCTGTATCAAGAAATTGATCTCAAGTCTTTCAATATAAATTTAAATCAATACCAATAATGTAGTCAAGAAATCTCAGCCTGTTAACTCATGCTTTAATCTACGCTATTTATAGTGTTCCTTATCGTATACATTTGTTCAATTTAGACATACCAGAAATAATTTGGCCGTATTTCTGGAATTTTTGGGAAATAAAAGCCTACATGTACATATGTGTGTTTAATACAGAGCTTTATAGCTAATGTTGATTTGATTGTTTCATGGATATTAATTGTAATCTTCTTAAATTAAGGAGCTGCATGTAAGCATTATTTTATTCTATGTCTACTTTATAAAATTTAAAGAACTGTTATTCGCACCTTTTAACACTCCAATGATAAAATTTATTATTTGTCCATTATTGTTTTTTTTAAGCATTCTCATGGTGCAAAAGAAATGAACGTAAAAGAGAAAAGCGGAAATGACATATCTGGATCCCAAGACAACACTTATGAAACCATTACAGATATTCAACAAAGTCAAGTATGGATAAGGTTAGTATTTGTTTACAGAAGGCCCATCAGTGGCGCTCGAATCAAAATTGTTGGAAGGCAAAATCAAAGTTGAGGACATTCAAAACCAAAACCAAACCAAAAATAAGTGCCAAATACGGCTATGCATGGTGATAGAACAAACTTCCAATTTTCTTTTTTAGCCATGGCGTTGTCGGTTTATTTTCGACTTATGAGTTTGAATGTGCCTGTGGTATTCTTCGCCTTTCTTTTCCGGAAAAAAATCAAGAGACGCTTACTCTATCGATGTACCCGGTCTCGCTTCTTTTAGTGTGGATGAGATTCCTTCAGTTTTTGCTTGTTTCCTTGATTTGTCTCTTCCTAATCGGTTTGCGAGATTTGAACATCGGTGATTTTTTTTCGTTTTAATTAATCCTCTATTCGCGACAACATGTTGTTGTTCCAGCAGCTTAAACATCTCAAACAATGTTTTTAAAATATGCAAACATAATTATTTAGAATTCCCCACTGAAGAACTTGGAATTCAAACAAACTTGGGAATCACATATTTACCCCTACATCATTCATGAAAGAGGAGATTTTAGAAAATCACAAATCCATCCTTCTCTCCAAAAGGACACTAAAAATCTTCTATCTTTATTCTGGATACATGAACTTCACAAAAATCACTATAAAGAACGATAGATAGCCGGGTCGTCAAAATATTCCACTAAACATATTTCTAAAGTTCTTACCCCATGACTTTTTTTACAGTAAAAGATGGTCAGCCACCTTCAGAAATATAGTGATGAGTTATAATAAACCGTCCAAAATCTTAAATTTCAGCCTTTACAATTTGCCGTAAAATCAGAACATTTTGTTGGTGTACGCTTTACACTTCTATTTAACATTCTCAATTGAAGTTCGACTACATTGTTTCATCAAACAGAGCTTTTGTTTTTCTACAAAAATGGGTAACGTAGATAGAAATTTCTTCTTTAAGGATCGTGTAAATCTTGCTTTTTGAAGAACCACACAAATTCCCGAAAATGATATCATCAAAATGCAGGAGTTTTGTGTTGCGTTTGGTGGTCTGATATATCAGCAGACAGTCATTATTCTAATGGGTACTAATTATGCGCTACTACTGGTCAACTTGTTTTTGTAATCATATGAAGCAGAATTTACACAGAACCTTTCAAAAGACAAACAAGTATCTTGCAAAGTTCTTTAATTTCAGTTTTAGATACTAAGATATTGCATGTTGATGATGTTCTTTCATTCAAAAACCAACATTTCAATGAATGCTTACATCGCATATATTCCAGTTAACTTGAAATTAAATAGATATTACCGAAATTAGAAGGTCTACTTCATATCTTAGTCTTTTAAGCAATATTGACACAGATGGACGACTTCAAACTAGAATCTTAAGATACTAGTATAGTCGTCTGATCCGTAATTTTACCAATTGTTTCCTATTAACGATTGTGACATTTTGACTAAGTGTGAATTTACATGACGGGTGATGCTTGCATAGCAGGTAACACTTACCCTGTCGACGCACCCGATCTCGCTCCTTTTTGAGTTCCTGCGATACCCTCATGATTTGTTTGTTATCTTGATATGTCTTCTTAATCGATTTACGAGATTTTAACGTCGGTAAAATACTGTTGCATTAATTCATGTTTGTCTGTTCAGGTGTATTGTAAACGCAATCCTTATAAACCGTTCACTTCATTTGAATGCACTTATTCTACGATTTGTTAACAAGGTTAGTACGACAATATGATGACAATTTGCAACTATGGTCTGAAAGTGAGTTATTCAAAACTAAACGGATGCAAATTAACAAGTTGTTCTACGTTTACCAAGTTTGATCTTCATAAAAACGAGTACATCGAGTAATATTCGCAATCTGGGTATTACCTTTTTTAGTATACTCTCCCCAGGAATCTATGACAACTCGCCCCACAGGAAAATCGCCCCACACCAAATCGCCCCACTTTTTCACCAACTCGCCCCACTTTCTAAAAAATCGCCCAACTCTTGTTTACCAATTCGCCCCGCTTATGAAAAAGGGTAAAATCCCATTGAAAATAGGTCTGACAACTCGCCCCACTTATGAAAAGGGTTAAAATCCCGCTGAATAAAGGTCTGTCAACTCGGCCCACTTATAAAAAATAGAAAAAACACGATGAATTTAGTCATGCCAACTCACCCCACTTATGAAAAAGGATGCAATTCCGTTGAATTTAGGTCTGCTACCTCGCTCCACTTGTGAATAAAAGAATTAAACTGTTCTGAATTAAGGCCTACCAGCTCGCCCCACTTATGAATTAAATACTTATGAAAACCTTGGACATGCATCTTGTTCTTTTGACTCTTTTCTTTTGGTTGAAAGAAAGCAGATAGAAGTAAGTATTTGCATTTCTGTGAAGTACGATTGTATTGACTATAGTAATCGTTTCTGGTAAATATGATCACTGTTTTACAAGATAAGTCAAGAATCATGGGTTTTTACATAATTTTATTCTCAGATGATAGGTTTGCACAATAAGTCAATTATGACAAGCACTGACATGATTACACAAAACGAAGTACAAGATGAAATGTCAACACTAGAAACAAGAACATTAATACACAAATATGGCATACAACGGATAAGTTTTCATAAGTGAGACGAGTTGGCAGACCTTTATTATATATTCATCGTGATTTTACCCATTGTATAAGTGGGGCGAGTTGTTAGGAGTAAATTTAACGGGATTTAACCCTATTTCATAAGTGGGGCGAGTTGGTTAACTGGTGTGTGGAGATTTTTTTAAAAGTGGGGCGAGTTGGTGAAAAAGTGGGGCGATTTGGTGTGGGGCGATTTTCCAGTGGGGCGAGTTGTCTTGCTTCCCTCCACAGATACGTAAACGTCAACGTATCTGATACGATTGGATAAAAATTGTCCGACCTCTAATAAGGTGTATAAAGTCAGAATGTTAAAACTGTGGTTGTAAATATAAGTACTCCAGAATAACTGTTTGCAATTTATGTATGATTATTCAATCACCAATAGAGTCGTCTGTTAGATAGAGGCATTGTCCGATTGTGATATAAATTACACAATACAAGTGCAACTTTTGCTTGGCTTTGTTTATAATATTTGTTAAGTTTTACCTTTTACTTCTAATTAGCGTTTAGTACTGATCACTAGTGAAGTTTTGATGCTCTCATTTTCTTTGATGAGTTTTTTTTTTTTCTGATTCCATTTGAACATACATGTACAGTTTTTAATCCGAATGCTGTTGATTGAAGGGTTTTGCACACAAGCTTCATATCATTCTCGTTTATTTATCTTCACAAAAAATACCTTCCGCAAAATTCATGAATATAAATAATCATAAAAAAAATATGCGTAAACAGTATAGCAACAAGACATCGAAATTTCTCTCCTTGACTCTTGCTGTCGTAACTTACATTTTTTTTTTACATATTATAATATTTTGTTCAGATTGTACCTTATCCCTGTCTTTTTAACATTAGTATTATGCAGTTCTCTGTCATGGTTAGTGCATGTTAGTACACAATATACAACTTACAGAATATTTTAAAGTTAATAAGTATCTTATTATAGATTTGTTGCAGAATATTAGAAAAAGAATCTTTTAGCTAATGAAGCAACAATCTTTTGATAGACAGTGGAATATTGAGACAGGTGTATATTTAACAAGAATAAGATATTGAAACTTGTGGCCAAGCCCAAATTGAAGATCGCTTCTAAGATAAACGAACCAACTTTTTCTTCGACAATGCAAAGAAACCGATTCAAAATGTACAATATATAAATGTTCCTTCTAAGTATATATTTCCTTTTATCAGGAGTTTCGTATTCATGTCGAGGTAAGGTTTCAACAAGGGGCTATGGTTCACGACAAAGTGAATCTTCTTTATATTCAACTACGAGCCAGGTATTTCTTCAAGTTGACGTTTTCTAGTTGTCGTACGGAATTCGTACTAAATTTTCGTCATTGTTCCCTGGTGGCTATTGGTCTCATTGGTAATATTACAACAACTTCTTATTTGTATATAAAATGTATAAGTCAGATATTTCAATGTTCTTTTTCATTGGCGCGCTCAGTTACCATTTGACTGGGTCAGATCATGTAACCGTTTGTCTTTTACGTTCACTTAATACGTTGTTTTAACAAGGGACATTTTAAACGAACAGGGTTGCCAAAGGTTTCTCAACGACTGAAAAAAAAAATAACTGGGGAGAAAATGCTACTCACGTATTGATAAACATTGAATATTTTGACATTCTACACCGATAATCGATAATCAAATTATTTACTAGTAACTATCATATCGCACGTTCTTTAAACATTAAAATATAAATTAAAGTAATGAATGTGTAAACAATGACCTTTTTCGGACTTCAACGCGATTTTACAATTGTCGTTCCTAAAATTTGTATCTTTCAACTTTTATCTTGTCCAAAAGTATTTATTTTTAGAACGAATGCATGGTAAACTTTAAGTCGTGGTGCAATTAAAACGAATAAATAAACAATACTTTCGTACGGTCTTTTTCGTACTTGCAAGATATTGGACAGTACAACGTACACGCAATTGGCCCTAGCTTAATACTATTTGCATTTATTTTTTGAAATAAGAATCTTTAAATTCAAAGTAGTTGGTCCGACATTCTACTGACTGACTCAGCATTCGAACTAGGACTTGAAAATTATCTAGAATAATACATTTTAGTTTGATGTATATAACTGGAACTTTTCAGCTAACCATTTTACGTGATAAAAACCCATGCTTGATGGCAGAACCGTATTCCTGAATTCATAGATTACCGCATATTCAGCTATAAAAGGCCCCGAAATGACAAATGTATTTTATTACTAACATGATATCTTTCAAATAATGCATTAAATATTTGGCACTGGACGTTATGTCTCTTGTTCGTGTGTCTTTAATGATGTAACACTCAGAAACGTGTCCTTCCCCCCAAACGTGTCCGATTCCCCCAAACGTGTCTACATC